CTTTAAAAAAAAAAAAAAAGAAAATGAGCTTTGGAATTGGACTACCTGGATGGTATCCTTACCAGCTCCCACGCTTGGGCCAATTACTTAGCTTCTCTGGGCCTCAGTTTCTTCATCTGAGAAAGGGGGCTACTCGTAGAGTCTGCCTCTCGGGGGTTATGTGGATCAAGCAGCAGTGTGTGAGAGCCCTAAGTGTGCGTTCTAGGAGTATCAGACAAGCTTTTCAGAAATGCAAACTCTCAATTCCCCACCACACCCCCACTGCTCTTCATCTCCGGAAATGGTACCTCCCACTGTTCACGATGACGCAGTCATCCTCGACTCTTCTTCCTTCCACACCCACGGCCCATCCTTTGGCAAATCCTGACGGCTTTTCTTAAAATACACCCCACATCCAGCCATTTTTATCTCCCCACCGCTGCTGTCCCCGGCCACCACCATCTCTTGCCTGGACTCTATCAGCTTCTCTCCAGCCCCTGTAGTCTGTGTTCTGCTCGTGGAAACCAGAAATTCTTTAAAAACACAAATCAGGGGCACCTGGGTGGCTCAGTAGGTTGGGCGTCTGCCTTTGGCTCAGGTCATGATCCCAGGGCCCTGGGATCAAGCCCCATGTTGGGCTCCCTGCTTGGCGGGGAGCCTGCTTCTCTCTCTCCCTCTGCCTGCCTCTCCCCCTGTTTGTGCTCTCTCTCTGTCAAATAAATAAATAAAATCTTTAAAAAAAACAAAAAAACCCCACACAAATTAGCCCTGGGCTCGCTCTTGCCTTCTACCCTGCATTGGCTTCTAGGCCTACCTAGAAAAAAATCTGAGATTTCAAGGTGACCTGAGCACTCTGCTCCCCGTCTTAGGGCTCAGGATGCGCCACCTCAGGGCCTTTGCACTTGCTGCCCCCCCTGCTGCCGACCTCTCCCGGGGCTCACTCCCTCACTGCACCGGGTCCATGGTCACCTCCTCACCTCAGTGAGCCCTGTTTTGGAACTCCAGACCAGCTCCTCACCCTGCTTTCCTTTCCTCCCTGGATCCTGGGATGGGCCTGTCTCTTTGCTCTTTGTCGTTCTCTTCCCTAGAATGTGAGCAGCGCAAACGTGGGAAGCCGGTCCTGCTGCCCACCGCCTCCCGGCGCACGGGACGGTGGCAAGAGCTTGTGTTCCCTGACGCTCACAAGTGGACACACGGAAGTATGAGTGAGGGCTATGGCCATTATCAGTCTTCCTCTTCGAAAGCCAGAGAGAGCCAGGCTGAGAAGGGAGGCAATGTAATTGTGTCTGGTAAGGAAAACACCAGTGGCCTAACCCTGCCTGTCTTCTGCCGGAGACCAGTTGGCTTTCTGGGCTCGGGGCTGGGTCTGCCTCTGCTAGGGGCTCCCGCAGAAAGGCCAGGCCGGCCTGACTCGGCTCTTGCTCTTCTGTGAGAGGGAGGAGGCAGAAGCAGAGGGAGCCCCCCTTCCTCGCCCCCTGCTCCCCCTGACCTCCCCTAGGCCTGAAGTGCCCCAGAATACAACTCTCAGCAACCAGGTCTATCCCAGGAAGCTCCTGCAGAGTTTGGGGGTCCAGGGCCAAGGCCTCATCCCATCACCATCACCATTTCTATCTCTCCCATCTGTCACCACCACCCCCACCCCAACACCCCTCTACCAGCACCACTGTTCGGGGGTAAATTGTGTCTCCTTAAAAAGATATGTCGAAGTCCTACCCCCCACCCCACCTGAGAATGTGACCTTATTTGGAGACAGGGTCTCTACAGAGGTGATCAAATTAAGATGAGGTCATCAGGGCGGGCCCTCATCCAATATGACTGGCGTCCTTCTAGAAAGGGGCAGTGTGGACACCTTTGAAGAAGCCCCGAGAGAGGCCCGGAGCAGTTCCTTCCCCAGCACGTTTGAGGGAACACAGCCCTGCTGACATCGTATTTTGGATTTCTGGTCTCCAGAACTCTCAGACAATACATTCCAGTTGCTTTAAGCCGCACGGTTTGTACATTGTTAGGCAGCCCCAGGAAATGAATGCAGCCACCTCCTGTGTCACCAGCCCCGCCGTCATCACGGCCACTGTCACCACGGCCACCACTCCAGCCTCCTGGCCAGCATCCCCACTGTATTGGCTTCCTGGGGCTGCATAACAAATGACCACAACCTTGGTAGCTGAAACCAAGATTATTCTCAGACTTCTGGAGGCCAGGAGGCCAAAATCAAGGGGTCCTCGGGGCTGTGCCCCTTCCCAAGACCCTGGGAAGAATCCTTCCTTGTTTCTTCCTGTTTCAGGTGGCTCCAGGTGTTCCTTGGCTTGTGGCTGCATTCCTCTCCTCTCTGCCTCAGTCTGCACTTGACCTTCTCCCCTTGGGTGTCCCGCTCTTCTCTTCTGTCTCATATAAGGACACTTGTGATGTCGCTGAGGCCCCACTTGGGTAATCTAGGATGATCTCATGTCAATATCCTTAACCTCATGACATCTACACAGACCCTTTTTCCAAATCAGGTCACATTCCACAGGTTCCAGGGAGGAGGATGTGGACATATCTTTTGGGGAGGGGGCCACCATTCAACCCACTACAACTACCAGCATCCCCCCTCCCCCCACCATCGGCATCATTGCCAACATTAGCTAAGTATTAGTATGTACTGGTGTTAGTCCCAGGACTTTTCCTGGACCACCTTTATTCCTTAAGACAACCCAGGGCTGGTGCTGTCAACCCCACTTAACTGTGGGGGCTCAGAGAGAAGAATTCATTTGTCCCAGGTCTCACTTGGAAGTAAGTACTTGAACTTAGGCAGTCTGACTTCAGAGCCTTCTGCCCCCCAGCTCCTGAACTTATGATCCGTACAGATAATTCCACAGAAGGATCAGAGTGGGGTAGTGAAGCACCCTAATGGAAGGCAAAAACACCTCTAACCAGTGGCAGATCTCGGTCAGGTCTCTTCTCTCTGGGCCTCACTTTGCCCACCTGTAAAATAGGGAAGCAGGAGTGGTTGGTCTGCATAATCTCCAAGGTCCTCCTACCTCTGGATGATGCTGGGTGTCATCTGTCATCTCAGTCCTATTCACACAATGCCCAGGGGCAGGACTCTCACATCAGCTAAACTCTAAACCTGTGGCCAGAGATGAGTTTTGCTTGGAAGGCCAGGGCAGGGGGAGGAGTGGAGGGCGGTGCTACCTTCCCATATCATGGAGCTGGCAGCAAAGGACTGGGGAAGGATTGGGGGTTGGGGGCTCTCTTTTCTTGGAACCCAAGACTTTTGATTCATGCATTCAGGAAGGGTTCCAAAGCTGAGAACTGGTGGTTGCTGGGAACAGAGCTGAAGATAACTTTATCTTGCAGTGCTGCCCCAGACCCAGAGGCCTTAATCGGGAAGCGGCTTGTCGCTTTAGACTCCAGGGAGTCTGGAGAGGCGATCCTGGGCCCGGAAAAGCCGTGGTCGATCATCTAAGGCCAAGAGACCAGGAGAGGCTGCGGCGACCAAATCCCAAGCCTCGTGTCCTTGGAAGGGGGATAAAAACACAAAATAGGTTGGGGGTGGGGTGTGCTCTGAAAATTAAGTTTCCCAAACCTGGTCTGTTCATTAGGAGTCATTTGTTTATAAGTATAAACATCTTTTTTAAAATCCTTTTTATAATGTGAACTGCAGAGGCCTTTTTCCTCTGGCTTCTGTCTGGAGCACCAATTGTTTGCCTTTCAGCTAATAACGTTCAAGAGTGGGGAGCTGAGTTAGGGACAGAATTGCAAACTTTAATTAGCAGGATGAGATTAGCATCCCAGCAGGGGCTTGGGGGGTGGGGGCATCCTTCAGGCCCCTCAGATCCCTGGGGACACACCTCCCACAAACCCCCCAGCTGAAGGCTCCAGTGTGGTAAGCAGGAGCCAGGCCTGCCAGAGCTTAGACCTGCCGAGTTAATCTTCCCTTGCTGGGCCTCCAGCTGAGCCTCACCCTCTTCCAAGCCTCCCAGGCCAGCCACTGGCTTTCGTTCCCCAGCCTCCGCCGGGTTTTGTCCCTGCGGGTGTCCAAGCAGAATAAAAAACTGGCTGTGTGACCTTGGGGCAGTTGCTCACCCTCTCGGGGTAGCGGAGGGAGTATGGGTGGGGAGGCGGGGAGGTGTGTGTTGGAAGCGAAGCCCCAGGGGCGGTGGAGGAATGCGACCCTCCTCCCTGCACACCCAGGGCTCACGCGCCACCAACCTGCCCTTGATCGGCTCAGGCAATGCTGAGAATTTTCTGGTCTTTATCTGGTTTAGTTTTAAGTGCTTCCAACGGCAGCCGAGCTGTGTCCCCAGGAAATTGGTCCACGTAGGACGGAGCCTTCCCGAGAATGAAGTCATCTGTTCCTTTTTTATTTTTTGTTGCCTTTCTCCTTCAGCACGAGTCACCCGGCCTCTGCAGTCTCTCCCCGCGCGCACACACGCCCCGCGGCGGGGGTCGGCCGGGCTGCCGGGGAAAGGGCGAGGGGCAGGACCTCCGGGGGGCCGCCCCCTCGCCGCCCCCGCCTCCCGCTCCCACCCGCGACTTCCCCGGGCCCGCCCGAAAGGTGAGCTCCCGGGAGGCCGCCCGCGCTCCGGCGCGGCCCGCTCGGCAAACAATAACAGTAAATAACGCTCCCTTGTCAACGTAATAAAAACGGAAACGGTTACAATGTTTTTTAATAAGCGTCCCCCATCAATCTGCCTCTCCCTCCGCCCTCCCTCCCGGGCCGCGGGCACCGGCGGAGAGGGGCGGGGAGCAGGGGGAAGGATGGGGCGCCGGGGCGCGCGGGATGGACCGGGGTGCCGGAGGAGGACGCCGCCGGGGGGCGGGGGGGGGGGAGCGGCAGCGCAGCAAGTGAGAGACGAGGGGGCGCGGGCGGCCGGGGTCACGCGCGCCAGCCGAGCCGGGAAGCGGCCGCGGTGAGTAACACCGTTGCCATGGCGACGTGGCCGCGAGGAACAGGAAGCGGCAGAAATAGCAGCCGCCGCAGCCCACGCCGCCCGGCCCCTCCCCCCCGCGAGCCCGTTGCCACGGAGACCGGCTCGAGCGAGGCTGCGCGGGCGGCCGCGGCCTCCTGCGCCCCGGCCCGCGCATGCGCCCCGGGGCCTGCCCCGCGCGGGCGTCGCGGCGGCACCAGCCGCAGCCCCGGCGCCGCCCGGACCCCAAAGCTGCTCGGCCGTACGCTAGGGTGCGAAAAGAAAAAAGAAAAAAAAAAGCAAAACTGTTTGTTGTACGCCTTTGGGAGGCAGCCCCGCCTTTGTTCCTGGCCGATTCGGCGGTTTCCCGGCGCTGGAAGCGGGAGCCGAGGCGGCAGGGACGCATCACTGAGCGTCCCCGATGTTTTCTGAGCGCTGGGCGCCGAGGGGAGCCCGGGCCTGCCTGCCGCCCTCTCTGAGCCTGACCTCCCCGTGGGGGTGGGGGACTTCTCCCAGGTGATGCCCAGGGGCCCCCCTCCTTTTCTTTTCGCGTGCCCTTCCCCAGGTTGTACCCGGCAGAGAGCACAGAGGGAGAAATGAAATCCCGCCAAACCCCAGGCTTCGTCTCGGTTTCCTGGTCGCCAGAAAACTATGAAACAGTCCCCCCCCCTCCCCCCCAAGGAAGTTGAGGGAAACCTAAATGTTTCATAAACAAAAGCACTCTCCGACAACTTGTTTACGCGAAAGCTGGCTGCAGCCGCGCACGTCTGAGGCTGGTGTGTGCATGCGTGTGTGTGCATGCGTGTGTGTGTGTGTGTGTGTGTATTGGGGCAGACACACGATCATCTCTGAGGCTGTTTGTGGAGGATTTTTTTCTTTCCAGACTTTGTTTGGTTTGTTTTTAATAAGGGTCAGAGGTCTGGGTTTCTGCGGGGAAGGGGGAAGGGTCATCTCAGATGGACAGGCCAGGGGATCCCAGGAGGACAGGTCACGGGGCCTGCGGAGCTGGGGCAGAGGCCATGAGCCAGAGCCTCCCCATCTGGCACCGCTCATCGAAGGCAGGGGGGTGTAAGTGGGCCCCTGGCCCTCGGGGCTGGTCCCCAGGGTATGGCCCGGACCGGGCCTGGGGCCAAGGGCTTTGGGACCTCTCTCCCCTGGGCAGGACAGCTGTCATTTTCCTGGCCCCTGCCGTGGTCACACTGGCCAAGAGGGAAGGCAAGCAGCGCAGCCCATGTCTCTGGGGTTTTCTCTAATGGAAACAGCGCGCTTTTGTTTTTGTACGGGGTGGACTCAGACTTGCAGCATCCAGGCTGACCAGATGGGAACGTAGGGAGCCAGTGTGTGAGGAAGGGGGACAGTGTGTGAGGAAGCTTCAGACCTCCTACTGCTCTCCTCTCCCCCTGCCCCCAGCCAGCCTGGTCCCCCCCCCCCAACGCTCCCTGCCTCCTGCTGGCTGAGGGGATCTGGCCACTCGGACTCCACAGAGCTAAGGAGAGATTGGGGGGCATGGGGTGATGTTCCTTCCTCCCTCCTCCCGCCCCCTTTCCACATGTGGGAGAGGGTCCTCGGCCCTGAAGGGGAAGCTTCTATCTGATGTCCAGAAGACTTCAGGTCCACCATGGCTGACTTGGCATCATAATTAGCCCTCTCCTTCTTTTAGGAGGAAATGAAGACACAGTTAGAAGCTGAGAGCAGTTGCTACAGTGAAGAGAAGACCCCACCTCTGCCCAAGGACAGTAGCTGGTGCCGAGAACCAGGGCTTCAGAACCAGAGTGTCCCGGTGATGAATCCCAGCTGGGGGCCCCCTGAAGCTTGAGCACCTGGATGATAGGGACAATGCAATGCCCACCTCCCACGTTGTGATCATTCCTCGAAGTGATGTATCAAAGCTCTTAGCAGCAGCTGGCATGGAGTAGGTACTCAGAACAGGGCAGCTGTTACTGGAGCTGGAAGGGGTTTACCACTCTCCCTGGCGTGACCTAGGGTTGCCACCTTGGAGGCCCGAGACTCTGGGCTTGGCTCTATCTCAGGGTAGGTCCATCTTTGTCACAGGCTCCGCCACCAACCCACAGTACAGCCCGAGGCAGGTCACTTACCTTCTTTGGGCCTCGGTTTTCCCCTCTGGTAAACGGGACACTAATCTCAACAACCACTGGTTGTGAATTACTCTGTGCCAGGCATTACACCGGGGTCTGTACATTTCCTTACCCAGTTTAGCCTTCAAAACAGCCCTCCTGAGGATGACCATGATATGTACCATGATGATCCTGATTTCACAGGTGAGAAGACAGGGCCTCAGACGGGTGAAGCCACTTGCGGAGGATCACAAGGCTGGAAGGTGGCACAGAACACAAGGTGGTCGAGTCCTGGACCGTCGTGCACCCCTGAAAACAGGCATTGTGTTTGTGTCACTGCTGCTCTTACTGTGTGTCCTCTGACCTTCTCCTGGCTCAGGCCACGACCCCCTCTGCATTTGCATCCTTGGGTTCAACCATTCTGGACTCTTCGGAAACTGGCAGGGACCCAGCTCCCTTAGTGAAAGATCTCAGGGGCACACGGGGGGGCTCGAGGAGAGCCAGGTGGGCCCCACGCAGTCTCCGCCACCAACCTGGCAGCCCCCCGACAGCTCTCCCATCCCCCTTGTCCCTTCCTGCCACTTATGCTGAAGGGTTGGGGTCCCTAACACACCCAGGTGGACGTGTGGCATCCAGATGGTGCAGTTAATTGCGCTGGAAACTGTAAATCTCTGTTATTATCCTAGCTCCCCCTCTGCTCTGCTGTGCTGTCACCTCAAGGCGCTGAGGGGGGTGGGCGACTGGAGATGGAAGAGGTCCCCTCCAGCCCCACCCACCCGGCCCAGGCTTTGTTCCTGCTCAGCAGCCAGGGAGGAAATTACCCAGTTGTGACGTCCAGTGCCTACGTCTGAATCCTGGCCCTGGCCCCTCCCGGCTGTATGGCTGTGTGACTTAATCTCCCTGTTATTCTCAGTTTGCTCATTCATAAATTAGGGAGGGTTACTGCACCTGCCTATCCCAAGAGGGTCAGGTGGCTGATGGGGTGCGTGTTCCGCCCTGCCTGGCTCCAGAGGGTCCTCGGGATGTTACTGGTTATAGCAAGCGTCTCCTCTGTGCTGAGTGATATAATGCGTTCGCTCAGTGAATTCTCAAACAAGCACATTATTAGCCCATTTTACACGTGAGGGAGCGGCAACTCAGAGAAGGCAAGTGAGCGGCCAAAGGCCACACAGCCAATTAGCAGAGGAACTAGGATTAAAGCAGGCAGACCTGTGTGGCCCTGAAGCCCTCGCTGTGACCTAGGTTCCTAGCCCCCTGCCCCCACTGGAGCCCCTCTGGGGCTCTAAACCAAGGTCTGCGGTGATAACATCATCAGCCCTGCCCAGGGCTGGCTTCTATAACCCAGGTCTGAAAGACACTGGGTTAATAGGTCCTTAATAAAGCCGGCAGAGGCGTCTATATCTTTCCGGGGCAGGGGCCAAGGGGCCAGGTGCGGCAGATGTGTCCTAATGAAAATGCTGGGGAGGGGGAGATCCTTGGGGTGACCTGCCTGCTCACATCTCAGAGTTCATCCTCTATTCCTCCCTGCCTGTGTCACTGGATGCCTCCCAGTGCAGGGGACAGTCACCCATCCATCCATCCATCCATCCATCCATCCATCCATCCACTCATTTACTCACTCATGTCCTCCTTCCCTTACATCCATCCATCCAGTGTTTATTGAGCACCCCTCTTGAGCCAAATCTTACCTTAGGTGCCTGGGGTCCCTCCCTCCAAGGGCTTCACATTCTAAAAAAGGCACTAAATAAACAACTAACTATGCATTCACAGGATACCGGGAGAGAGGACATCTTGGGGGCTCTGAGACTGGACTGTGCAGACCCACCTCAGCCAAGCTTTCTAGACGACCTCCCCTCCCGGCCGACGTGTACAAAGAAGGGGGTGCCCTGTGTTCTCCCCTGCGATTCTAAAATTTCAAGTAGGGTGAGGAAGCTCCTAATCAACCCACTGCCACCCTAGTCCCTGGGATCTGCCCTCGACACCCGTAATGTCCCCAGTTGAGACCCAGGTCCAGTCCAGCTGGCCCAGATGGTAAACAACAAGCTGAGATGGGGTCAGGGGCAGAGTGCTGGGCCAGGAGGCAGGGTCAGGTCCTGACTGTGTCACGCGGTGTGTGGCCCCGGGAACATGACCTCCCAGAGTGGTCCTTCAGCTCGGCTGAAATGCTTTGGAGGCCGCGGGAGACCTCAGCCACTGGGACATTACTCTTATTGTTATTGTCACGTTGTTACTACAGAGGAAGCAGGTTTAGAGTGACTGGCTTTGGCCGGTGCTGTTCATTCAGTGGCTACCATTTGCTCCTTCCCTCACTCAGCAAATGTTTATTCCTGTGACCTGCACCGTGTGCTGGGCCCCTGGCCAGGGACAAGATCAGACTAGATCTGAAGTCTGGGGAGAGTGGTGAACAGGTGTCACCTCGATCACCAGCTCTCAGTGGGTGAAAGCCGTATTGAGAAGCGTGTGTTGAGAAGGATTCCGAGGCTGCATCTGGGCTGAGAGAGTGCTGTGATCAATTAGTAATGTCTGCCACGAACACAGGAAGGGGAGCATCAGCCAAGGCTTTTGCCAGTCTTAACACGGAAGAACAGGAAGGACCTCAGACAGGAGACCCTCGTGACCGTGGCTGGCCTGCTACATGGACTTGGGTAAGTCATTGACCTACTGCCCGCCTCCACCACTCTGTGAGGCACAGAGGCTGACGTGGGACTCTGCATATTTAGCGGCAGAAGGAGCTACAGCAGGAGAGCCCAGACTTCCTGTTTTAACCCGGCCTGCTCTAGCCTTACGTGAGGACCAAATGTGATGTGCCCTGTGTGAAAACACACAGCGCTCAGTGAAACATATGGGGCGGGAACGATGAAAAACCAGGATCTTGGAGCTGTGGCAAGAACACAGGAATTCCGGGTCCCCAGCTGCTCTGCGGACCTTCCATGTCTGGGCCTCAGCTTCTCCATCTGTACAATGGGGTAGTTAGAGAATGGACATGCTGGGGGGGCTCCCACACCTGCTGTCTTGTGCTGCCTACAATGCTGAGGAAGCTGGAGGCTGAGAAAGGGGCACAGGGCTGCCACAGCACCCCACGGGGAGGCCACCTCTGCTGGCTTCGGAGGGTCGTTCAGCTTCACTGGGAGGTCACATCCCAGGCACACCCCCTGGATGCTATCCCAGAGCAAGGCAGGCAAGAGGGAAAAGAGTGGGCAACGTGGGGGCCCCAGGAAGGGCCAGAGGGGCTGAGCCCCCTGACTGGGGGCAGGGGGAGTCTGGGTTCTGTGGAGGCCCTGGAAGGGAGGGCCCCCACAGCCCAAGGGCTGGAACCTAGGGACAGTGGGCTGGGGCAGAAGACTCAGGCCAAACCTTGGTATTCAGCAAAGAGCAGAAGGAAAACAAGAACAGATCCAGGCTGGGGAACCTGGAATGGCCAGTGGACCCGGAAAACGGACGTGCCAAGTCTCCACGAGCCTGACTTAGGGGTTCAGGGCACTGAGACTGTGTTACCCACCTCCCTTAAAAAATTCTTCGTGGCTCTCGGTGCCCTTAAGAGGAAATCCAAAGCCCTTAGAGGCAGCACATGCTGCTGGGTCAGAGTTAGGAACCTGAGTCTGAGTACCAGCCTGGCCACTGTCAGCTGTGTGACCGCCAGCAGCTTACCTGACCTCTCTGGGCCTCAGTTCCTTATCCGTCAACGGGGATGATAACAGTAGCCATCTGATGCGCTCGTTGGCGGGTTCAGTGAGCCCTAGTGCCTGAGGCAGGCTTAGCATGGTGCTGGACACACCGTAAACTTTCAGTAGTGGGGTGGCTACTCTCATGATTACTTTTATTGCGTCTAAACTTGACAGAGCACGAGGCGGAAGGCCTTGAGCACTTGAACCCCAGTTGGCCGCTCCTATCTCATCAGCTCCACCCATATGACTGCGCTTGGACTATACCAGGCTGCTTTCTCCCCCTCCCCTGCAGAAAACCTTGTTCACTCGTGCCACAGGGCCTTTGCTCGTGCTACGCCCTCTGCCAGGAGTGCCCTCTGCTCTCCACGCTGCCTTCAGACCCTGGTCAATCATGGCTCTGGGAACCACCCTCCTGACAAGTCGCTTCCAGAGTTCTGTGCTCACAGAGCCAAGTGGCAGCTGTCCTGGTGTGGCATCCGTGTTTATCTTCTGTCTGATTCTCCTACTTCAGGGTGACTTCTCAGGCACAAGAGCCATGGCTGGTCCGTTTTCCTGTCCTCGGTGCCCAGACTGTGCCTGTCACACAGGTGCTCCTTAGAGTGGGCTGGATGTTCGGAGCCCTCCTTCCCCAAGCAGGGAGCGAGCACGGCAGACAGACGGCTCCCACTCCCGCTCGCCTTCCTTATCAAGGAGAAACAGGACGCCTCAGTGCTTCTCTGATGATTCCCGGGGGAGAAGCTTCTGTGAAATGCTGGGGTTTCTAAGTTAGAGCTCAGCGGGAGGGGGAGGCATGGGGGCTCCATGGAGGGTCAGAAGGGCCCCCCACCATCTGCTCCCCCCCAGCCCCCACACTTCTAGCCCCTCCCCTGCATACCTCCCCTGCCTTCTCCTCCTGGCCTGGGCAGAGTGTTGATCTTGGGGATCGGGTGAGGAACAGAGAGCAGGGGGTAGGTGGGCCACAGATTCCCAGATCCTATAGGAGCTGCTGGGGTCAGAGAGGATGTTCCTGGCATTGCCTTGTGAGCAGTCTGCAGTGTGGGGACAGCCAGAGTTGGTGGCTGGGCCCTTGTCCCCACTGCTCTCACTGTGTCCCTGTCGGGCTCGCTGTGAGGCAGCCAGGTGCCCCTGTCCCAGCAGAGGGACGGCTATTGCTACCGTCGGGCTGGATGCTCTGCTCCCAGCCATCTGCCCCAGACTGAGGGTCCCTGCAGGATGCTCCAGTTGAATAGAGTCCCAGGGAGTATTGAGTTCAGCCCTTTCATTTGGCAGTTGAGCAAGCTGAAGCCCCCTGCCCCCCGCCCCAGGGAAAGGGGCGTGTTTAAGGTCACGTGGTAAACCCAGTGTTCTTTTCTGTAGCTGGCTGCCCCCCAGGAGAGGAGAAGACCCATAGACCTTGGTTTTGACCTTGAGGAAATGGAAAAACTTGGACCTTAAAGACAGCAGATTACCGTGGCTAAGCTGTGGGCAGGCTGTGTGACCTCGGGCATGTTCTCTAACCTCTCTGAGCCTCATGCCCTGCTGAGGATTCCATGAGATCACAATTGTACCGTGCCGAGTAGACCTCCTGGCCTGCACCAAACTCTCAAGGAGCTTTCTTATGACGAGGGAGCAGGTGAGCCTCCCCTCGAACAAACACAACCGACGAACTGTGTTCTCATGTGGACATGGCAATGGCCCTTCCCTTTTTAAGCTGTGGTGAAATCCTCCATGTTGTAAAAGGAACCCTTGCAGGCTTATCTGGGTACAGGTGAGGAGACCAGGGGAACATCCTGCTCTGCTCCTAGAAGCTGTGACCACGGGAGAGGGACTTGGGGCTCTGGGCCTCAGCTTGCTCATCTGCAAAGTGGGGACACTGGCCCTTCCCCTCCCAGGGCCGCTGTGGGGCTCAGTGAAAGAACTTAAGGGCACAGGACCTGGTGACCACAAGCCTGGAACCCCATCTTTTTCACAAACTAAGGATGCCTGTTATGGAGAAAGTGCTCGCTTTTTGATTGTAGGGTTGGCCCAGGAGACTTGGTTTCTGTCCTAGGCTTCCTGGGAGAAATACAGTCTAGAGCTCCGGGGTTGAGCGAGCCTGGTTCCTTGGACCGGGAAGCCCTGCCCAGCAGCCCCTCCTGCCACAGCCTGGTCACTAATCACCACTGGGCCTGGCTTCCTCCCCACCCCCTGGAAGTGCGTGATCTGTGGCTCCTCCCACCCCCTCCCTGCAGGCGCTGCCTGGCTGCCCTTTTCTGAGGGGCTGGAGGGGGGCTGGGGGTGCACATTTTCCAGGCTCTTGTTCCCTGGCAGCTCCGAAAATTAATTGGCCTTTAATGTGGAATAGTATTTATTTTAATTAGCAGGAAATTGACTAATTTCTTAATAAGGGGCTTTATGGAAGCTCCGCATTTGGGCTGGGTGGTCCGTATGAGTTGGGGGGATTTGTTTGAGCGGGACTAGTGAGAGCCTGCTGGTGAGGAGCCCCCTGCCTGTGGGTTCAGTCAGGAGGTGGTGAGAGGAGAGGACTCTGGTCCAGGGGACCCACAGAAGCCCAGGTGACTTGGCTACAGGCCTGTCAGGGGTCTGACAGCCTTGAATTCTCCCTTTGATTTTGGTTTATTGGGGTCCTGGGAATAGATCACTGATCCCCAGGTATGGCTGTGCCTCTTGGCTTTCACAACACCCGCTCCCCATTTGAGGAACTGACAGAGTAAATCAGCAGGGATTTCTTAAAGGACCTTTTCTTTGGTCTGACGGCATCACTGAGGTCCCCCTAGCCTGTGTGGCACCCTGGTCATGATACCCCACTTTACAAATGTGGGAGCGGAGACTGAGAGGGGCGCTGTGTTTTGCCTCAGCCTCCCAGATAGTCCCCACTCACCCCCACCGCTACCCCGTGATGGCCCCGCGGGAGGCTGCCCTGACCTCCCTGGAGCTCGGGGGCCCCATCCAGCTCTGAAGCACCCTGCACCTTTCCTTCGGGGCCTATTGGCAGTGACAATGACCGTGTCCAGTGTGCTACCTGGACTGTCAGTCCCCTGAGGGCAGGTACTGAGTCTGTGTGCTCAGCTTCATACCCCAAAGCAGGCACGGGGTAGGTGCCCATTGTGTGTTAAGGGGAATGATGGAGTCAGAACCGAAAACAACCAGCCATGCCACCTAGTCAAGAACTGTGGCCGCCCCTCTGCGTTGCAGTGTCCTCATGACTTTATACCTCAAAGTCCTGATGGGGGGGACTCGCCCTCTCACCCTGACTGCCTAACTCACCCTCAGGGAGTGACCTTCCCCCCTTCTCATTTCCTAGGGGTCTGACTCAGGAGCACGCGTGCACACCCGGCCCATTTGGGTAAAGGGGAGGAGGAGGCTTATTCCCTCACCAGCCTGGATCCAGAAGGGGCTGGGCTGGGTGGTCTCCCAGCGGCTCAGCCTCTGAGCACCAGGGGGGCCGAGCTGCCCACTGCTGTCAGATCTGGTGGCCTCGCTGAAGGGCTCTCTAGGGATCTGCTCCAGCCACTAGCTGGGGAGAATGAAGCCATGACCTCCCTGTCCCCTCCCAGGAAATCCATCCCCATGTCTCCTACTGGCCCAGGCCCCACTGAGCTGCTCAGTCCAGAGACATCCCTGGGTTCCTCAGCCCCTCTGCCTGGACTCGGACCCACGAGGTTCCCCACTGATTTCTTTAAACCCATTTACACAGTGCCTTCTCTGAACCAGGAATTGTTCTAAGTACGTTAGAGATATTTATCCTCAGTATGAAGTAGGTGCCATCGTGTCCCCATTTTACAGACAGGGAAACTGAGGCACAGAGGACACGTGACCGACCCACTTCCCCTCAGGCTCTCGCTGCCGCCTTCTGGGGTGATGAAGTTAGTTTCTGCAGGCTTCTTGGGTGTCTTCTGTGTCCCACTCGCCAGGCTGCATCCAGCCCGCGCGCCTTTGTGCGCACAGGTTCCCTCCCCCACCCCGCCTGATGCTGGCAGGAGGGATGGCGGGGGCAGACGGTGGCACAGCGGTCCCTGGCACGCTAGAGGCAGCAAGCACGGGGCCCCTGGCACCCGCCACACCTGGCCTTGATTTGGATCGGCCGCGTGCAGCTGTGTGGTCCTGGGCACATGACTTCACATCTCTTCACCAGCCTCCTGAGAATGGGGAGCAAAGCTATTGTTCCAAAGGTTGTAACAAGAAATAAACAAGCAGACCTGTGTCAAGGGCCCAGCATGGTGGCCAGGAGCAATTTGGGATGAATAAAGTTCATATTCTCTCCTTCTCCTCCCCAACTTGTCCTTCGAAGCTCAGTTTTCCCAGAAGCCTTTGCCCCCTTTCCAAGGCAGAGTCCCCAGTGACAGGTGTCCCCAGAGCAATTTCTGTCTGTGTCACTCAGCCTGGTGCCTGGTCATGTGCACTCTGGCCCCTGGGCCCTCGGCGCCCCGGGGGCAGAGGGGAGCCCAGGCCAGAGGAAGGCAGGGACTCTGCTGGGAATAGAGCCGGCATTCTGCGCTCATTCACTGGTGAGAATTGAGCACACTAAAGCACCTACTGTGTGCCAGACACTGAGAATGAGACAGCCTCCAGGAACGCCCCCCATGGGGCTGGGGGAGAGGCAGACAAGGGAACTGGCCACCTAGACTCGGGGGTCATCGGGGCTGGGATCAGCGGAGGTGGGGGGCTGACCCAGCTGGAGAGTCAGGAGGCTTCGGGAAGAAGTGACATCCAAACTGAGGCTGGTGGCTGGAGGGAGGCATGTGAGTGGGGTGCATTCCAGGCAGAGGGGGTGTGAGGCAAGCGTGGCCCTCAGGAGACGATGTGGGTCATGGTCATGGTCATGAGTCCCTCTGGGTGCCGGTGCTGACAAAGGTGAACAAAAAAAGCTGGTCCTTGATGCTCCCCCACCCCATTACATCCCAGTGCTGGATGGAGAAGAGCAAACATCAACCAAGTAATCAAATAAATAAACGAGATCATCACAGAGAGGAAGAGTGAGTGAAGCCACTGAACTGGGGAGGTGGGGAGAGGAAGATACAGTGGCAGCCCGGAGCTGGGACTTTCTCCCAGGGTTGGTGGGAGCCGCGGAGGCTGGAGCAGAGAGCTGCATGAATGGAGAGCCTTTTCCACGACTCCTAGCGCCAGATGCAGTAGGAGGAAAGACCCAAGGCAGGGCTGATGGAGTATCCAGGCAAGGGATGGTGGCTTGGGTCAGGCTGGCGGCCATGAGACTGAGAGAAGAGAAGAGGGTGGATCTGAGAATGCTCTAGGAGGTGAAGGGACAGGTGTGAGGATTATAGCTGGGAGGGTTGGGGATGAGGCTGACCCCGGATTTCTAGACCAGGCCTTGGGGTGACAACGATGCCATTTGCTGGCATGGAGAGCCTAGGGACATTGATGAGCTCAGCTTGAGCTTGTCCAGGATCAGGTGCAGGAGACAATCTTCGAGGGAAGCATCCAAGACCAGGGCGGAGGCGGAGCCTGCAGCCGTGGGGGTGGTTGGGGGAGCAGCCCGAGGGTCCTGCCAGATTCTGCCTTTCTCAAAGGAAAATTTATGTCATTCATCCCTTCTAGTGTTTCTGACTCATCCCAGAGCGTCTGCAACATAAAACATTCTAGAATCTTGAAGACTTTTCCTCTGGGTTTTCCGAGTCCTTCAAAGTGCCCTTCCTTGCTCACACATTCCTTCCATTGGGACGCATGGGTCAAAGGCTCCGATTCAGGAAGGAGAGAGGCTGTTTTCTCCTGATCCAGTTGGAAGCAATGCTTGGGGTAGAGAATGTGGGGTCTTGAGTCATGGTCCTCATGGGTGGAGGGCTGCAGGGGGGTCTCTGGTTATTCTCTTTGAGGGGCATTCCTTACTTCCTTGGGGTGGGAGCTCTGGGTCTGTTTGGCCCTATCACTGGGGCTGGGCAGGGACCCAGCTGGGCTCTGTCGCGTGATGGAGAGAGGGATGTGTGTGTGTGTGTGTGTGTGTGTGAGAGAGAGAGAGAGAGAGACAGAGAGAAAGAGAGAGAGACAGAGCGCCCGCCTGAAACCTAATTGTCCGCTGTCTAATCCGTCAGCCCGAGGACAGCTTGTCAGCCCCTCCCAGGCAGGCTGATAAATGCCGACCGAGCCCCCCTGCACCAGAGCTGCCTTAATTGGTATCAGGACGTGTCTGGACTCCATCCTCCCGGCCCCTGCCTTCCTCCCCTCCTGCTGCAGCCTCCAGCCCGCAGTCCTCCACCCCCAACAGGGCTCGCCTGCTGCCACAGCCCCAGGAGGAGGGTGTGAGGCCAGTAACAGCATTTATGTGGCACCTACTGTGTGCCCAGCCTGTGCTGACAAACCCTCTGGCCGCCCTCATGCAGCCCTGCGAGCTGGGGCTCACTCTCCTTCCTGTCTGCACCCGCAGGACCTGTTTCTCGAGCCCTCTGCGTGCCTGCCCACCCCCCACCCCGAGGCTGGGTGTTGGGGACCCACAACAGGTGAGATAGACAAGGATGCCTGCCCCCAGTGAGGAAGGGGCTTATTCCCGGACAACTGGCCTGGTAGGGCTTGCCCATTTTAGGACGTTCAGAGAGGTTCGGCAACCTGCCCAAGATCACACAGCTAGAAAAGGAGGCAGAGAGAGGCAGGTTGCCTTCAAAACAATCAATCACATGACTAGGTCATGATCTCGGGGTCCTGGGATGGGGCCCCACATGGAGCTCCCTGCTCAGCAGGGAGCCTGCTTCTCCCTCTCCCTCTGCTGCTCCCCCTGCTTGTGCGTACTCTCACTCTCTCTCTCTCTCTCTTTCTTGCTCCCTCTGTCTCTCAAATAAATAAATAAAATCCTTAAAAAACAAAGCAATCACACGGCTGATTCTCAATGTCGTGTGAGTCTGAATCACTGGGGGTTTGAGTTAGAAACTCAAACGCCTCCCCCTGAGATTCTGGATGCGGATCTGGTGCCCTGAGAATCTGCATGGACACGAAGCCCTCCAGTGAGTAGGCCACTCGGGACCTGGACGAAGATTGGTTTTCCGTTCCCCACGCTGATAGAAAATCAGGAAGGAGGAAGCCTGTGGGACAGAGGTGACGTTCCCCTCACTCATTCAACCAGCACTTACTGAGCAATTCCCTGGTGCCAGGCCTTGTTCTGGATGCTGGCAGGACTGGCCACATGCTTTGCAGGGCCCTATGCAAAAGAAAAATTAGGGCTCCCTTGTCCAAAATGTGTTAAGAATTTGAAGACGGTGACCACAGACCACGAAACCAAGCTGGGGCCCTGAGTCACTGGCTCTCCCATGAAGCCAGCCCTGGTGCTGGGGGATGGGGCAGGGACAGCCAAACCAATGAGCCTGAGCCCTGATCTTGACCTGGCCCCCCATCCCTTAGCTGGGATCCTGAAATTAATAAAGGGTCTGAACACCTAAAGTTCTTTTGTAGGATGATGGTAAATTCATTTGGAGGCAAAACCTGACCTCACCTGACAGGAAGGTATGTATCGTTTTATTTATTCCCCTTGATGTGAACATTTGTACATTTCTTTTTTTTTAAATATTTTATTTATTTATTTGAGAGAGACAGAGATAGTGAGAGAGAGCTCGAGCAGGAAGGAGGGGGAGAAGCAGACACCCCGCGGAGCAGGGAGCCCGATGCGGGGCTCGATCCCAGGACCTTGGGATCATGACCTGAGCCGAAGGCAGAGGCTTAACCATCTGAGCCACCCAGGCGCCCCACATTTGTACATTTCATTGCAGAGTTATCAATGGATATGATTGTGGAGGCTGCCCAGGCTCTGCCAGGGTGGTACCTAATATTTACTATATGCACCATATTACTCCACTAAAGGGAACCACTGGGAGTTTCCTGACACCTCTGGCCCCAGGGTTTAGGAAAAGAGATTTGGATTCACACAAGACCTGTATGGACACCCCGTACAGGATGATCGCCATGGACGCCAATGTTTTTGAGATATAACTGACATACAACATCATGCTAGTTTCAGGTATACAACATAATGATCTGCTATTTGTATATATTCCATGTTTTTCTGCATCATCGAAAGATGAGGATCTGGCAATGACCCCAGTCCCTGCCTTGCCTGTTCCTTGGGTGGTGGACAGCGGCTTTGTGCTAGAAAGGGTGCTCACTGATGAGACCCAGGGAGATGTGAGGTCAAGCAACAGAGCAGTTTTCTGTTTTTCTTTTCTTTCCTTTTATTTTTAAAAGATTTTATTTTTAAGCAATCTCTACACCCAACGTGGGGCTCAAACTTAGAACCCCAAGATCAAGAGTTGCACTCTCTACCGACTGAGCCAGGCAGGCGCCCCCACAGAGCAGTTTTCTTAAAAAGAGAAGAGAAAAGAGCTTTATTGATTATACATGTAATGTGTACTCATCATCACCAGAAAATTAATACAAAAGAAGAAAGTAGCAACAACCTGAAATCTACCCCCTCCACAGTGACTACTATTGGCGTTTCTGTGGCTACCCTGCCTTCCAGATTTTTCTAGAGATATCCTTTCCCCCCCAAGAAAGCTGGGTTTCACCACCCAGTATTTTGCAACCTGCATTTTCCCCATCACTGAACAGTATGCAGTGGCCATCTTCCCACGTCTGAGTCATGGCTTTTCAGGGAGACAGGGAAACGGTAAACATAACCCGGTAATGGTAACCAGTTCAAACAACCCCCTTGTTGTACACTGCTTGTTCCAGTGTTTTCATTAATGGGTACCTTCCCACAATGGCATCCTTGTGCACACACTGGCCTGTCTCCTTAGGTCAGATCCGTAGATGGGGAACCCTTGGGTCCACGCAGGGTGGGGACATCCCTCACGTTGTAGACGCTGTGATTGCCAACACCATAGTCCCTGCCCCCGCTCGTCTCTTCCAAAGAACCATTCTCTGCTTATCAGGAAGAGGGGCCCATCCAGGCCAGTTAGAGGGTCCTGCTAGAGCAGAGCCCCCAAGCCCTGCAGGGAAGGCAGGAAGCCAGGAGGGGTACCTCATCAGCACTTTGGCCATCTTTACATGGCCCCTCTCCTGGGGCCTCCCCCCTGCCTCCACTCACCATCCCCAGCCCCCATGGAGGCCCACTGGCTGCCACCCTCAGCAGGCCCTCTGGTTCTCTCTTCTCAGACGAGGGTAAAGGCTGGACCCCAGGCCCCCACAAACCCTAATCACTTGAGCTGTCTCCTGATTTGCATGTCCTTAAGGCGCCTTGATTAATAGCCCTTCCTAGGATCTTCTCTGCTCCAACCACGAGGGCTCTGATTGCAAAGTGGCCTCAACTCCTTTAAAAATAAGACCAATCCTCCCTAATGCAAGGGGAGCCCATGCTTCCCCGAACAGTAAGAGATCTGGAGGCGTCTCTCAGAAGCCCCGTGGACACGGACACGTTGGAACATTCTGGAAGGAATCAGGCCATTTCTCTACCCCGGCAGGCCAAAGCCTTTTCTCGGCACTGACGTGAGCTCTCACGGCAGATGTTGGGAGTGGACGTCACCTGCCCCGTTACAGAAAGGAGTGGAAGCTCAGGAAGGGCAAGCTACTTGCTCACGGTCCCCCAGCCAGGGAGGGATTTGAACTCAACACTGTCTGATGCCAGCCAGACCTAAGTTGACACTCTTCGCCGCCTTGTTAGAAGCTGGCCGGGCCAGGGGCTGGGGCTGGAAGAAGCAGACACATTTAGCGAGGTGGCTGTAACGCTCGGTCCTGATGAAGCCAGGCCTCGCCCCGAGAAGAGAACCAAATACCCCCTTGCTGTACACCCCTTGTTACGTTTTCATATCAGGGGGGGCGGGGGTGCCGGGTCGTGCTGCAACAGTCGTGGGACCTTCCCGGCATGATGCAGGGTCCCGTGGGCACAGTGGTCCCCACGCCTTTCCTGTTCCCCAGGCGAATCCTCGCGGGCATTCTGGTCCGCACCACGTGTGTGAGCCCAGAACACAGCCCCGGGATTCCACTCGCTCTCTGTGGCCTGGAACGCTCTCCCGGGGTGAGTGCGGGCAGGATGGTCCCTGGGGCGGCAGGGCACGGAGACCTGGCTCCTTTCTGCCCTGCCCTGCCCTTGGCCGCCGAGCCTCTCCCTCTCCTGCAGTTCTCCCTCCTCGCTGGTGCTGAGTGGCAGGAACTGCAAGGTTTAAAATGCTGTGAGTGTAGCACCCTCTGCTCCTTTTATCTCCTTGGTTGAGCAGTTTCTCAACCCACTGCCTCCACCATCACTCTCCCCCGGGGGTCCTCTCTCTCCTGCTGGCTGGGTCGGCAGGGTCTCCCGAGCCTTTGGCAGGGCCCCTGGGAGTGGGGTCCTGGACGCTAGGAGGGCCTGCTCTCTCTGGCCATCTCGGGGTTTGCTGGGCTGAGTGTGGCTGTCCCTGGCAGGGACCTGCCAGGCCACTGGGCCTTGGAGCAGGTGCGCACACATGGTCCACTGACCTCAGCTGGGAACATGGTGTGCTCAGGGCTGCACCTTCCTGGGGAGCTGTAACAAGCTATTCCCACTCCTTTGGAGACACCTCCACGGGGCGGAGAGCGGGCAGCTGGAAGCACAGCGTGGGGCTGGGAATGTTCTCCAGTGCCAGGCCCTTGGGGCCCGAAGTGCAGGCACCCGGAAGGGTGGCCCCTGGCCCATCCGTCCCTACTGTTGCTACTGGCTCCGAGCAGGGGCAGCCTCTCCTCTCTGCTTTTCTTCTCCCAGCTGAGCCTGGGTGCACGAGTGAGTTGAGGGATTCTTGGGCACATCCCCAAAGCTTTTGGGTCTCAGGGACCAACACAATTTCCAAAGCAAACTTGGAGGATTGATGGGGTGATGCCAGTTTTAAATTTTGCTAGGGAAGGGTGTTAATGAGAACAGACAAAACAAAGAAACACATGCATTGAAAATCCCATCATCGGGGCGCCCGGCTGGCTCATTCGGTAGAGCACATGACTCTCGATCTTGGGGTCGTGGGTGCAAGCCTCACGTTGGGTGTAGAGATTATAAATAGATAAACTTTTAAGAAATCACATGAAATGAAATAAATTATATTTTAAAACCCCAGAAGTATGAAGGACATAATCTTAGAATGAAGGAACGTCCTCCTTCTAAGGGGCATTGGGAGACTTCACAAATGTTTCTTACGCTTTAAGACCTGGGACAGGTTTGCCACAGACAGGCACCCAGCACTGGTCCCTAACGTAGTACTTTGGAACATCTCATGGTCATAAGATGGCTGCTCCACCTCTGGCCATCACGCCCACATTCCAGGCAGGAGGAAGGCGGCCGGGTGAAGTATATTTTCCTTGAAACCTTTGCCTTTTAACTCAGGAGGGAAAACCTTCCCTCGGATCTTCTGCCTTCAGCTCATTGGCCAGAACTGGGTCACGTGTGCACCCCAGAGCTCGAAAAGGGAGGCCGAGAAATTGAGTATTTTCACTTTCTGGACTCTGCGGTAGGAAAGGCCAGAAGGAAGGGGGTTGGAATGAGCATTTGCACATCTGGTTTTCTGGAAAGTCTCAGCTTTCGTTTCGTTTTATCCCTCCCTCAAGTCTGTGTGGAACCCTGGGTTCTCATGGCTGACGGTGGCCTCCAGCCCCCAGTTCCTTAAGCAGCTGCCGGCAGAGCCAGTTCAGCCTGCAATCCCAGGCTCCTTCGTAGATCCACTTTGGTCCCCAATTCAGGGGTACTAGTGTTGTCCCTGCCTGTTTTGGGGTTTCTGGTTTGAAGAGCACCCCAAAATAAAGCCTCTTTTCAGAGCAAGTCCCCCAGATAGAGTTGCCACATAAAATTTAGGCCATCTA